AAATAAGTACTCCCGATTATGTTCGGTTGTTCGATCATGCGGCCGCTCCCTCTCGTATGCATCTAAAAAGATTTAAAATAAATATTAGTATACATGTATAGGAAACAATAAAATAATATTAAAATCACTTACCTTGGGTTTGAAATCGATATCGAAGGATCTTTGTGGATCCCCTCGTCTCCACATAAGCTTTACCTACAAATTAAAAACACTTAAAAATAAGTTAGTATAAAATATAGAAACAAAACTAATGCATGCATGTCCCGGGACGTAACAATAAATCTAACTCTATATGCTAGATGCTAAAATAAATACAATGCATAAATGTAAAAGGATAGGGACGAATTATTCCCTCTTATGTATTCAGTCGTCCGATCATCCGGCCACTCCCTCTTGTATGCATCTAAAAATATTTAAAATAAATTTTAGTATACATGTATAGGAAACAATAAAATAATATTAAAATCACTTACCTTGGGTTTGAAATCGAGATCGAATGATCTTTGCGGATCCCCTCGTCTCTACATAAGCTTTACCTACAAATTAAAAACACTTAAAAATAAGTTAGTATAAAATATAGAAACAAAACTAATGCATGAATGTCCCGGGACGTAACAATAAATCTAACTCTATATGCTAGATGCTAAAATAAATACAATGCATAAATGTAAAAGGATAGGGACGAATTACTCCCTCTTATGTATTCGGTCGCCGATCATCCGGCCGCTCCCTCTCGTATGCATCTAAAAAGATTTAAAATAAATATTAGTATACATGTGTAGGAAACAATAAAATAATATTAAAAAATCACTTAACTTGGGTTTGAAATCGAGATCGAAGGATCTTTGCGGATCCCATCGTCTCCACATAAACTTTACCTACAAATTAAAAACACTTAAAAATAAGTTAGTATAAAATATAGAAACAAAACTAATGCATGCATGTCCCGGGACGTAACAATAAATCTAACTCTATATGCTAGATGCTAAAATAAATACAATGCATAAATGTAAAAGTATAGGGACGAATTACTCCCTCTTATGTATTCGGTCGTCCGATCATCCGGCCGCTCCCTCTCGTAAGCATCTAAAAAGATTTAAAATAAATATTAGTATGTATATGCATAGGAAGGAAAAGACAAAATAATATTAAAATCACTTACCCTTGTTTGAAATCGAGATTGACGGATCTTTGCACTTCCTCTAATCTCCCGATAAGCTTTACCTACAAACTAAAAAACACTAAAAAATGTGTTAGTATAAAATATAGAAACAAAATTAATGCATGCATGTCCCGGGACGGACGTAAAAATAAATATAACCCTATATGCAATGTGATAAAATAAATGCAATTCATAAATGTAAAAGAAAAAGAAAGTACTCCCGATTATGTTCGGTTGTTCGATCATGCGGCCGCTCCCTCTCGTATGCATCTAAAAAGATTTAAAATAAATATTAGTATACATGTATAGGAAACAATAAAATAATATTAAAATCACTTACCTTGGGTTTGAAATCGAGATCAAAGGATCTTTGCGGATCCCCTCGTCTCCACATAAACTTTACCTACAAATTAAAAACACTTAAAAATAAGTTAGTATAAAATATAGAAACAAAACTAATGCATGCATGTCCCGGGACGTAACAATAAATCTAACTCTATATGCTAGATGCTAAAATAAATACAATGCATAAATGTAAAAGGATAGGGACGAATTACTCCCTCTTATGTATTCGGTCGTCCGATCATCCGGCCGCTCCCTCTCGTAAGCATCTAAAAAGATTTAAAATAAATATTAGTATGTATATGCATAGGAAGGAAAAGACAAAATAATATTAAAATCACTTACCTTTGTTTGAAATCGAGATCGACGGATCTTTGCGCTTCCTCTAATCTCCCGATAAGCTTTACCTACAAACTAAAAAACACTAAAAAATGTGTTAGTATAAAATATAGAAACAAAATTAATGCATACATGTCCCGGGACGGACGTAAAAATAAATCTAACCCTATATGCAATGTGATAAAATAAATGCAATTCATAAATGTAAAAGAAAAAGAAAGAAGTACTCCCGATTATGTTCGGTTGTCCGATCATGCGGCCGCTCCCTCTCGTATGCATCTAAAAAGATTTAAAATAGATATTAGTATGTATATGCATAGGAAGGAAAAGACAAAATAATATTAAAATCACTTACCTTGGTTTGAAATTGAGATCGACGGATCTTTGCGTTTCCTCTAATCTCCCGATAAGCTTTACTTACAAAGTGAAAAATACTAAAAAATGTGTTAGTATAAAATATAGAAACAAAATTAATGCATGCATGTCCCGGGACGTAAAAATAATTCTAACCCTGTATGCAATGTGATAAAATAAATGCAATGCATAAATGTAAAAGAAAAAGAAAGAACTACTTCCTATTATGTTCGGTAGTCCGATCATGCGGCCGCTCCGTTCCAAATCAGAATCTCTAGTCGAGGAGGAAATGCCATCGCCATCGCCATCGGTGCTGCTGTCCGTTAGGATCATCCCACCATTTTTATTGACGTGTTTCAGCAGCTTCTTGGACAGTCTCTTCTTTGGGAAGACATGTACATATGGGGTAGAAAGGTCTCTTGTATCTCCTACAAAATAAGCACACAACATCATCGATCCAGAATAACTAACGAATCACATGCTTAAGTGAAGCACCAAATACTAGTCAAATCCAAAACACACATTATTAGGTATACGGAAAAGTTTCAAGATTGGATTCTAAAATTTTTCAAGAAAAGTGCATACTATAATTTCTTGAATGATTAGCACAAGACAAAAAAAAATCCTCAAAACATCAGCATCACTACAGTTTGAGAAAATCATGTGTTCTAACATGTGTTCTAACTGCTAGCCTGTGAGTGCCAACTCAATCAATTCGATTCAACCATAATCATACACAGCAAACACCAGTCGAAAACAACACTCAGATGCTTGAGCATCACCCAAGACTTAAAAAGAAACATATAGAAATAACCATACCATACCTGACATCCCTTCTTGCCCCTGATCCCTCGCCGGACAGCATAAGCCTCTTCGAAACCATTTTTTACCAACAGCTCAGCATAAGCCTCTTCAAGCCCCTGCCCCTACCCTGCTCGTACCCCATTGCAAGTGTCAGCTTGATCCCCGAAATTCTCCAGAACCCTCTTCACAAAACCTTCTTCATCCCCTTCTCGGAATTCCCCCTGCCTCTGCCGCTGGCCCTGCCCCTGCCCTGCTCGTACCCCATTGCATTTGCAATTGCATTGCAGCCCCAAAAACTTATAATAATGTATACAAAATCAAAATTGAGAATATTTATAATGTATCTTTAACGGCTACTTACATAATATAAAATTTACCATATATAATTTCACATGTGTATATTAAAATTAAAACAATTTCTTTTTTTAATATTATGTGTATATTAAATTTAAAAAATCAAAATCAAAATCATTATGCTCAACGGCTACTTACCTAATATAAAACTTACCATATATAATTTCACATGTGTATATTAAAATTAAAATAATTTTTTTTTAATATTATGTGTATATTAAATTTAAAAAATCAAAATCAAAATCATTATGCTTAACGACTACTTACCTAATATAAAACTTACCATATATAATTTCACATGTGTATATTAAAATTAAAATAATTTCTTTTTTTTAATATTATGTGTATATTAAATTTAAAAAATCAAAATCAAAATTATTATGCTTAACGGCTACTTACCTAATATAAAACTTACCATATATAATTTCACATGTGTATATTAAAATTAAAATAATTTCTTTTTTTAATATTATGTGTATATTAAATTTAAAAAATCAAAATCAAAATCATTATGATTAAAATTAAAATAATTTCTTTTTTAAATATTATGTATATATTAAAATTAAAATCAAAATCAAAATCATTATGCTTAACGGCTACTTACCTAATATAAAACTTACCATATATAATTTCACATGTGTATATTAAAATTAAAATAATTTCTTTTTTTAATATTATGTGTATATTAAATTTAAAAAATCAAAATCAAAATCATTATGATTAAAATTAAAATAATTTCTTTTTTAAATATTATGTGTATATTAAAATTAAAATCAAAATCAAAATCATTATGCTTAACGGCTCCTTACCTAATTTAAAAACTTACCAAAAATATATTACCCTCCTATCTAATCTAATAAAAATTAAAATAATTTCTGTTTTTAATATTATATGTATATATTTTTATATTTAAATTATATTTTATTGCTTCTATAAAAATATAATATTTTATTTGAATATACTACTACAATTACATATATTTATTTATAATCATTAATTTTATTATATTACTAATGATATTTTAAATAAATTGATAATTTAAAATTTATTTTACTAGTGTATTAATTTTGTATTTTTAGTTTAAAGTAGTGTAAAAAAAAAAAATATCCCTTCCGTCCCAACTAATTTGTCTATTTTAGCTGGGGCACGAAGTTTTAGTTATGATGTAATTAGTAAGTAATTAAGAAATATATTAGTAAAAATAATTATGGTATAATAAAAATAATTATAGATTACAGTGACTTAATAGTTAATTAAAACAAAAAAATTATAAATTATTAATTTTAAAATATGATTAAAGTGTATAATTATATTTCCAAAAAATAAAAAAAGATAATTTATATAGGACGGATGGATATAGAAAAAATGGATAAATTAAGTGGGACGGATGGAGTAATATTTTATGTTAAACTATTATATTTTTTAGTGTATAAATTATATATTATATATTTTGTACAAAACTATATATATATTATATTTTTTTAATATAAATTGAAAACCGTATTAAAAATTAAGTGGCAATGGATTGGAGATCAACCTGGGTCACCTGCATGCCAACAGAACCAATAGAATAAAGCTTTGCAAATACGAAAGAGAAATGTTTTTCTAATTACAATCACCATTACCATTGTATTTATTTATTAGATTTATTCTTATATGTGTAGACCCAGATAGAGTGTCTTCCTTCTCGCCGAACTCTAATTTACTCGGTGTCACGGTGACTTCCACGCTGTCCGTTGCGTGCACTGTCACCTCATACACGGCATTCGCCTCCTTCCTGACATTTCTTACGCTTCGTTTATACTTTACAACGCTTTTAAAGCCGGAGAAGGCAACCAAGAACGACGGGTATCGATGTCGTAGATCAGGCCGGGATTCGTTGCTCGGTTTGGATCGACGTGGCCCAAGAACGGATTGGACACGTCCCTGGTGACGAGGTCCGTTAAATTATTCCCGTTGTTATCGACGTTGTACGCCGTGGTCATCAATGCTGACTTGATCGGCCGCCGGTGACCACTCAGGGTGGGCCTGTTTCAGCAGCGCCGCCAAGCCGCTGACGTGAGGGCACGACATCGACCTGCCGGAGATGATGTTGAATTAACATAAAATTATTAGAAAAATAAACACTTAATTATCAGAAAAAATTGGGAATAAAATTTGGTAGGTTTCGGAACAACTAATTAAGTACGTCATTTATTAATGCAATTATTATAATGGTCTGCTATTGGTAGTAGCATCAATTGTAGTAGCCTTTGAATACTAATATATATGTTTACATTTATATTTATTGAATTTTTGGTAAATATTTACATCAAATCAAATAATTATTCTAATTAATTTTTTTTTATCTAATTGCATAATTTACAATCAATATAATAATATTTTTTTAAAATAAAACATTAAATTTAAATAAAATAAAAAAATATTTCAACTTTTATTTCAATATTTCATCAAATAAAAATAGTTAAACTAACATTTTATTACATATATTATATTAACCAATCACACTACTTAACTATATAAACCATTTTTTCTTAAACTCCGCGCGAAAAGGAAATGCGACTAATTTCGCAGGATGAAGGGAGTATGAGAATAAAAATTAATTAAAAATTAAAATAAGTATCTTTGTTGTAGGTATAAAATAAAATAGAATATCATCAACATTGATGTGGTGTAGAGAGAAAGTGAAGTGGATGGTGAAAAAAAAAAAAATAGAGATGCCAAAAAAATGTGTATCTTTATTGCTAATGGTCTAAAAGCATACTCTTAAGAGAATGAGTTCTTGAAGAAGAATCGAAGCTGAAGGGAATTCCTGCAGAGGGTGCTCCAAAGTTTTTTCTTAGATTTTACAAAATTTTATACCATATAAAGAGAGGAGAGAATCAATTCATTACAGTAAATTCTAGGATATTTTAGCAAAAATTAATAGTATGGTACCAAAACTCGTATAATTTTTGATCTTGTAAACTTATAATTTTGTAACGATGGATTGTAAATGATTGTATTGCTTGCGATATTCGAAATTCAATTTTATATTTCGGTTTTATTTCCTTTAGCTTTATAGCTATTAATATAGTTTCATAAATATTTAGAGTTTGTTCTATAATAATTTTAAACTAAAATAACACTAATTATTTTATATAATTTTTAATAAAAATTTACTATTTATTTTAAAAAATATGTCATATCAAAATAATATTTAAACAATAATTAAAATCAAATACATTTTATTTCAAATCAATTTTAATAAACAATCAAATAAATTCTTGTTTAATTTAATACATATAATACTAATATTTTTAAAACTCCTGCAAAAATCAAACGGATAGATAGATATGAGAGTGGAGTATCTAATTAGAGTGTGTTCGTTTATGAGTTTTTTCAAAAATTTATTATTCATCAATTTTATTTTTTAAAAAAAATATCAAATCAAATACGTATTTTTTATTTTTTATATTATGATAAAAATTATTTTTATATTCAAAATATCACATCGGACACTTAGTTATACAATATTATTCAACTATTATTATTCAAAACTTCTACTATTAAAATCTCAACTCAAAATTCAAACTTCCAAACAAACACACCCTCAAACAAAAATACAAAAAAAAAAAAAAAACACCACAAAACACAAAACAAACATACCTTGAGTATTATAAAAAGTTTTATTAAAAATTGATAAAATATGATAAAATAAATAAGTAAAAATAGCAAAAAATTAATTAATGTTTATTAAAATATGAATAATAAAATTTTAAATAAATAAAACTATTTATTATGAAGAGATTAGATATAAATTTAAATTAATATGGTAACGACAAACACATCCTTGAACTTACTGTGATCATATATGGCAATAACTGACGGACACAGGAAACATGAGACACTTTTATGGTGCATTATTTTTACTTATTTATTTATTTATTTATTATTATTATTATTATTATTAAGATTTGTTTTGCTTGTTTTGAATTTAAAATTATCATTATCTATTTTATATGATTTTGAATAAAAATCTACTTTATCCCATAAAAAAGAGTATTATTTATTTTGTATACATAAGTTTTTAAGATTAGTATTATATTAATTATAGTAAAAAAATAAAAATATTATTTTAATTATAAGAATAATTAAAAATAGCGAAAATATAATTTTATTTTTTTATTTTAATAAAAAATAATTATGTAATAATAAAATTGAGATATTGTAAAAAAATTATTTTTGAAATAGTTATTTTATACCAAATAAAAATATTTATATTTTTTTAGTAGATAGAAAAAAAAAATTATTTTGGGAGTTGCAGCGGTTGTGCGCTTTTGGTCCGGGTTGTACGCATTAAACTTACTTATGTTTGGTTGGATTTTTTATTCAAAATTTAAATAGTTAAAATTTTGAAATAGTAAAATATAATATAAATAAATATTGATATGATATTTTAAAAATAAAATATATTTTTAATATATTATAAAAACAAATGATAAGTATGTTTGTTTATATTTTGAAGGAAAAAAAAAAGGAGTAATAAAAATTTTCAAAAATTTCTTTAAAAAAAAAAAAAAAAAAAAAAAACTTTGTTATTGATTATACTTGACTGCAACCAAACACGCCCCAAAACCTATTTATCTATTTAAATGAGTAATTTATTTCCTCGTCAGTGTTGGTAGGATTACATCAAATGAGCTTTGAAAAGCAGTGTCAAGAATCTACTAAAAACCAAAATTAATACAGACAATGCATGTTGTCCTTTTCTTCTATTCTTTTATTTTTATATTGATAATAGTATTGTTTTCTTTTCTTAAAAAATTAAAAGATTTATATATTTTTAAAATTTACATAGAGGGTACTTTTATTTTTTTATTATTTATTTATTTCTTTAATTGTTTTTCTAGGTGAAACAAAAAATAAATGTAAAGTTTTATACAAAAAATAAACATAATTTTAGAATAACGAGCAATAAAAGATTTTAAAACTTATAAGGATCCAAGTAATTTTTCAATATTTATAAAATAGTTTATAAAAATAATAAAATCTTAATAAAATTATATCACATAAAATCAAATTTAAATTAAGACAAATAAAAATTGTAGGACAGATATTTTCCCAATTAAACAAATTAGTTATAAGTTTATGGCGTTCAAAATCCAATATTTTGGTTTGGGGTGTTTTCTTTTTTTTTTTTAACATTTTTTTTAAAAAAAATTAGTTTACTATATAAATTTATAATACCCTCCTTCTCATTTCGTCCAACTCAAAGTACATTTTATTTTTATTGACATTTTCGTCTCTCTCACTTAAAAGTATCAGTTTTTTATTTAAAAAATAATTATTATATACTAATGTCAAAATAGGTTAATTGTTACTTAAATTACAAATATACTACCATCTCTGTTCGGCTCTAAAACTCTCATTTACTTTTTTTTTTCACGTAAAGTTGTTATTTGAATATTAATTATTATATCAAAACGTAGTACAAATTATGCAAAAAACTTCAATATGTGTCTAATAATACGATATTTTGGTGGTTTCAATATGACATTCATCACTTTATCTCCCGTGAGAGCATCCGTTATAGTCATTACCTTTACCTCATTATTTTTTTTTTAATTTTCAAATTATTTCATTTATGATATATCTTTGTTTGATTTTTAAATTTTATTTTTCAATATATTGAGGTAATTGATAACGAGAATGAATAGTTTATTATGTTCCTTTGATATATAATATTCTTTTATATGAATTCAAAATATCATTTAATTTATTTTATAATAACCGAATAATACTATAAAATATAATGGTGGGATCCACAAATTATTTATATACAGCAAAAAGGGGAAATTTGAAATAATTCCACGTTATTTCATTCTAAATCTCACACCAATATATATATATATATATATAATTTGTTTGTGTGATGAATGAATCAATGATTAATCTTGTTATTGGATATGGAATTTGGGGTTTAAGAATGATTGAGAATAGATTGTTAATGAAAAATACACGGAACATTGGCCGCTGGAAATTTTATTTTATAAATTATTTAAGGCTCATTTCATATAATTAATTTTTATTTATTTAATCCTATTTGTTTCTTTATAAAAAAGTATTACATTAATTTTTTTTTCATAAAATATTAAATTAAATACATTTGTTTTTTGAAAAAAAAAAAATCAATTTTGGTCTCAATAAAACCAAAATTTATCAATTTTGGTCATGATATAAGAAACGCATCAATCTTAGTCAAATTATAAATAATTTCAATCAATTTTGGTCTCATTATAAAAAATTTCAATCAATTTTGGTTCCACCGTTAAAAATCTAACGGAAATTGCTTACATAGACGTAACAGAGTTGATGTGGCAGCTGACCTGGAAACTACAGTCATAGTTGAATTTTACGTAAAATCCTTAAAACTCACTGTTGAAATTGCTTAAAATTTCTATATTTTCATAGTTGCATCAAATTTGTTCCTAGTTTATATAAATTGTGCGTGTAATTCTTCAATTGTCTTTATATAATGGTGTTTTTTTTTTAGCCGCGGTCAAATTGCAAATAAATACTAAATTTTCTATTTCTAAATTGGATATTTAGTAGGAAGAAATAGAAACAGGTAAATGAAAATGTAAAAATAAAGGCAGATAAATGAAAATTGATGGATGGACAGACGTAGCTAAATTAGTCTTGAGCCTTATCAAATAAGAAGATAACTCAAAATTGATTAATCCAACAAAGACACGGGAAATTGATAGAGTTGCTGGTCCCCAATATGATGAGATGACATATTTTGGTTGTAACAAATTTAGTGGAGGCATGGATAAATAGTGAAACAAAAAGATTCTATTATTGATTGAATTTGTTAGATGATTATATATGCGAGTGAGAAAATATAATAAGAGTTAAATATTCTAGTTGTGTTGATAGAGAAAAAAAAAGAGATTATTGAACATTGAGTGAGTGAAAATATGAGATAACTTTTAGGTTGAGGGAAACAATCAAGAAATGTGTGTTGATTTCTTGAAGTGTGTACTTACATTATATCAAAATATTATTGTGCTTCAATGGTTTTTTCAGTGAATCTTATATAGGTTGGAACCCTAAATGGCTAGTTACAGTCGAATTGGATTATCAATTATTTTGTAATTTTCGTCCTTGTGATCACCAATATGTATTCGCTTTCAGATTGTTGACTGTGTCCAACGAACAACCAATTAACTTGTATTGTGAGAATTTACAATTCTTTTGTCTTGGAGTTGTTCTGCTGTAGTGATTTAATCCAATGTAATATAAATTTGAAGTCAACAACTTTAAATTACAAATATATTTACATTTATATTAATTTCTAACCAACAGTAGATTTTTTAAAAACCAACTATGTATAAATATATTTAGTATTCTAAATATCCCTTCATTTTAGTAAATAATTAATAAATAATTAAAAAATATATTGGTAAAAATAATTATTTTGTAATATAAAATTAAGATAATTAAATAGTTTAATTAAAATTAAAATATATAATTTTTATTTTTAAAAAATAAATAAATTATGTGAAATGAACGAAACAAAAGATATGTGAAATAAAGTAAAAAAATATTTTATATGAAATGAATAGAGTATTTAATATTGATAATTGATATGAAAATAAAATTTTATTTAATATATTTGGTCAGAATAATTAAATATTTAGATTGTATTCTTTTTTTCTATTTAAATATATATATTTTTTATTGTTATCGAAAAATATTTTGATTTTAGTTTTTAGTAAAAATTTGCTTTACGTAATTTATTATTATTATTATAAATGATATCAAGTATAATTATTATACTATAATTTTATTAAAATTCATAGCTCAATATTCGAGTATGATTGATAGATGGAGTAATATTTTTAAAGTATTTTTTTTATATATAAAACATAATAATTATTTATGTTAGCTTATTAAAAATATAATTTGATATAAAAAAATTTAAAAACTATAATATTTAACACATGTAACCATTGAATGAGCAAGATTTCATTCATAGTAAAATCAACGAGAAAAGTGTTTCACTGTATAGCCAAATTCTCTCCAAGTATTTCCTCCAAGAGGGAGGCATACCCTATCATGCCATTTTTTATTTGTTTACTAGTTTGTTTATTTTTTATTTAAAATTAATGTAAATTTTTATTTAAATAGTATTTTTATGTAATAATTTTAATGAAAAAAAAAATAGGTGATCCAAGCCTCGTACTAGTGGAGTTCACGGCACATCCGCAGGTCACGAGAGCGAGCCACCACCACAACCAATGCCAATGCCACCCAATCACGCACGGATTTGTTTTTGAATATCCTCCAAAAGGCTTCATACTAGTGGAGTTCACTCGGGAAATTTTCTTCACAACTTCCGATGTGGGACTTGAGTTTGCACCCAACACCAATCCCACCGGAGTTTCGGATCATTTTTACTTTTGTAAAATTTTATTATATTCATAGTTAATATTATTTTTTAAAAATAAAATTAATCGATTTTTTATATCTATATATAGGATCTACAATTTGTTTTTGTTGGGGACCCTAAAAAATTCCAAGAAATAACTATATAAACAAATCAACAAGCAATAATTTATATATCTTCATGTGCCTTTTTCATTGATGTAGACCGACAGAATAATTTTGATTAAGATCAGAGAATACAAACATCTTTTCTTCAGGGATAGTCAGTGATGAGAATAGATTTTCTTTAATAATTTTTTTAAAAAAAATTTACTATTTAAACTCTACATATGTCGAAAAAAAAAAAAAATTATTTTAAGATCAAACCTAAACTAAACCTTTCCAAACTCTTACTAAAGAAACTTACCCTAAGATTTATCGAAATTCAACACGATGTACCTATTATATATCATCTAAAATTGATGTATCTATAATAGTTGATGACACTACAATAGTTAATATTTCATCAGCTATGTATCTATATGCAAATTTCACAATAATATCCTATATTCAACTATCAAACCTCACATGAATTCAAAACAACATTAAAGATTTTTACTAACCTTCATCCTCTTAAATGTTGCCCTTAGAGACCAACATTCCCCGACGCCATTTAGACAAGGCCTACATCCGATAATGCATGAAGAAACTATGCGCAATTGTAAAATACTTTTGTATGTCCTTTCTTCGCCCGAATTTGAGAAACCTACAAAGTCGTGAAAATATAGGAACATATAGAGTCAAGAATTTAACAGCACTAGAATTTAACAACACATTAACTTATTTATGATTTACTGTTTTTTAATATGAGAATTGGACTTTATTATATAAGGGTACTTGAATTAAATTTTCAATAATCCCTTGAATTTGATCATAATCATTGATAAATTATTAAAGCCTAATTATTTAGATTTATATGAAGTTGTGTGGTTCAACACAAACAAATTCGTCAGTAATAACATAGAAGATTCAAGATTGGTTAAATATTTATTCTAATTTTTCATGGGATCAGCAGCAATGCATGAATACCTTTGAAGTCACTAGATCAAAGAACATAAACTAGAACTGAAATTGAAACTTGTACCTTCAGACTCGAAATTTCACTGAGATCGCCGACATGAGTGCCACCACAAGGGCATCCTGGGTTCTTGCCCAATTGAACGATCCTAGGAGAGCTCTCCTGTAAAAACAGGACATAATTGACCCTCAGAAATTCTATTACACCCCGGAGGAACATAGAGTAAGCCAAATACAATGCCTGTTAAAAATGACATGAAATGGAATTTTGACTACTTAGCAATATAGTTGAAAACTAACTGGTAAAGTAGTATTATTGAATCTCCAAAAGCAATGTAACCCGATAGAAAAAAAAAAAAAAGAAACTATTTAATACAGTACAGTAGACGACTCTCAAAAGTGAAGGTACACCTTGTTAATATGACAAATAGCATGTTGTACAAAGAGGTGAGATTAATAATATATACATATGAAGACTTCATTGCAGCAATTAAAATTTGATCAATGTCAAAATAATATCCCTTTGTAACAATTAAAACTTAGATGAATAATTTTCAACAATTTCACCATTCTATAGTGCAAAAGATTTTCATACAAGGGTTGCTGTATGTGGCCTAAAGCATTTTCATTTTGAAAGAGGATATGGAAATTAGAAAACCTGCAGCTCCCGGGGGTAACAATAATCATCGATATCTGTAGTCTAACCTTGGGTATGTAATCTGGGAGGGATCCACCGCAGAGTTCCGAAGCTTGATTGTACGGTAAAATGGACACAGAGACCTTTATGGTGTATGAAAATGTTAAGACATTGATGCTACATAACTAAGGACTACAAATAAAAAAGGAACTGAACAAATAGAAGTTTATTCAAAATGCATACACACATTTCCTCCTTCCGAGATCAAACGGTTTGCTTCTAATTCAATCTCCTTTTGCTTCTCTTGCAGTTCATTCGGTGGAACAGTACCTTTGTATTCCACAAATGGTCTGAAAGTTTGTAAAGGGCAATCCAATTAAATTTTACATAATATGCATCAAAGAGCCTAAAACTGTCTAAAAATCAAACAGAATAGAATACGGAATGAACTGTGAAGGAAGAACTATCAAACTTCATTCCAGAGACAGAACTAAAGCAAACAATCAATGGGCCAAGCAAGCAACTAAGTAAAACACTAAAATCAATATTCTTTCAAACCCAAGTTAGAAACGGATCTGATGTCACATTGAGCCTCTTGAATCACAGGTTTAGAACAGAAAAATAAGTAGGATTACATAAAGTTCGATAGGAACCACTTTATAAAAAGGTAGTTTGATGCATCGTTAATGCTAGCGAATTTCCTCCACTGATATCACGATTTACGAGATAGCACATATTTACAGTAGCTATAACCATATATTCATACCCATCGGGAAAGTGATAACCTTTAGTCGGCTCCAAGTGATCCCACCCCACCGTTCTCACACAGATATCCAACAAATGCCCTGCAGAATGCAGCCTACGAAACAAACACATCAGCAATAAACAGAAAAAATAAGCAAGATTCTTTAAAGTTGTCTTTCAGCATCAGCAATAAACAGAAAAAATAAGCAAGATTCTTTAAAGTTGTCTTTCAGCATCAATTGTCAGCCATTTTAGGGAAAACTCATATTCCATATTAAACTGCAATATACAGCCCCAAACCTAATAAACTATTGGCTTTAGCAATCCAAACCTGATACGAACAATATTGGAAGACCAGCAGTCCAAAATTAGATGCAAAAATGTTTTCAGGAATGAGTTTAGGTAAAACAGAAATCCATTTTTTATGAATAATTTATCCACACTGCTCTATATTTAGTTTTAAATTATAGAAGCCTTCTATGAAATCCTCTGTGATAAACTAGTTTATAGGATCTAATCTTTTCAATGAAATAATCTTATGAATAAATGTAGAAGATTATTATTCATCTAGATCAATTGATCAAGCTAGGCCAAGCCAAATCAAAGTTTTAGATTTTCGAGACTAGAATCCATATTGAGGTGAGCTTGAGCTGGCTTGACAAAGAGATCTATCAAGTTTAAAGGAACTTGAGGCTAGAAAATTCTTAGCTTGGACTGGCATTTGTTAATACGAAATGAGTCAAGTCTAAGTCCATGCGCAATGTTTAAACTAAAGTTCTTATAAATCAAGGATAATTCAGCATAATAAGATAAACTTTCCCTCGCTACCCAACCTTATTGAACTGTTTATTTACAATATCAATTCGAGTCTACTCAGCAGGATTAAAGATCAAGAATTAGGAGATTGAACTCAAACTTATTTAACTGAGTGAATTTACAACAAGCTTTTGAATAGCTGGAATAGATTAACATCATGTTGTAACTTGATTATTGAAACATATATTCTACTCATCAGTTCAATATAGTTGCTAAACATATCCCCACAAAATCAACAAATGAGCTTGTTCATCTCCATACCTAGACAAGTTGTAACTTGATGATTCCATACCTTGAATTTAGCCTACGTCTATCTTCATCCACTCTCAGCAAAACTTCAGCTCCTACGACAGCACTCACATCTTCAGTGTTCTCGAAATGGCCATAGTGATACACCTAGTAGTACAACAAATTAAGAGGAATCACCAAAATGAAAACGGAAAAAGCGAACAAACATTAAAAGCTAAAATAGAATACGTAAACATTGGACGAAGGAAACGTACAATTTGATCCTTGGATCGGACATCCTCAACAACAAAGGTGAACAGTGGATTTGAGATGAAACCCTTGTCCGATGGTTGACCGCCGCCCTGGGGATGAAAAATAGTGGAATCGAGCACGAGCGTTTGCGTACCTTGATCATTCTGTTCAAGGAGGAGCAATCCATCAACAAAACGCAGAAAATGATTCAACTGAAGAATCCAATCCAAATATATAAGTAAATATTTGGTTTTGTTGGAGAAGGGCAGAACTGACCGCGAAGGAAGAGAGGACCGCAGCTGAAGCCTGCAGCTTGAACATGTCGTGGAAGTATTCGAGTTTGGTTGGGTGGCAGCGCGAGAGACTCTCCGCCATGTGGGTGTGGTGTTGGGATGTGCCTTCGTTTCGTTTGTTGCAGTTCAGTTCAACGCCCACTGTCAAAGGAGTTTAAAGAGCGTTTACTTGTACTTTTGTTTTGATATTCATTTTATATATAATATATATATATATATGTATAATTATTAAATTAAATAATTATTTTTATTTAATACTTTCATCATTTCCTCCCTTTCCTAACAAATAATATCGTATGTTCGTATGTGTTTACAGGTTTTAGTTTTGAATTTTAAATCGTAAAATTTTGAATTAAAATAGTTGTTTAATGTGATATAAATATGTGTTGATGTGATATTAAATTTTAGTGTAATAAAATAAATAAAAATTGGGTGTTTGATTCATATTTTTGGAGGAAAAAAAAAGTTAAAATAATAAAATCAAGTGTAAAACCTGAGAAGTAATCATTTTTATCGTAGTCTCTTTATATCAAACAAATGACATATTTTCAGGAAAAAACTTACTAATTTAAACCATATTAATTACCTTTATAATAATATATACCTTCATTCAAAACTCTTTTATTATGTATATATCTCTTCAATAACAAAATATTTTATTAATCTTTATTTTAAAATTACCCACAATACTTTTTACATAAAAACATAATAATAGAATAATATCATAATTTATTATTTTCTATTTTCTTCTATTCATTCACATAATATAATTTTCAAAATAAATGAAAAAATATTATTAACTAATTAAAATATTCTTTAAATATCGTATCTCTAATTAAAAAAAGTAATATATTTGTCTAATTGTAATTTAATTATAATTTAATAAAAATAATTATAAATTAAAATAATTAAATAATTTAATTAAAATAAAAAATTATAAATTTAAATTTTAAAATGCAATTATATTTTTTTTAAAAATAACAAATTATGTAAAACCGAAAAGAAAAAAAAAAGACAAATTAAATAGAATGAAAAAAATATTTATTATGAAACTAAAGTGTGTTTGTTTGGAAAATTGAATTTTAAATTCACTGTTCATCCTATTTTTTCTCTTCAAAAAATCAAATCAAACACCTATTTTCTATATTATACTCAAAATCAATTTTACGTTCGAAACATCACATCAACACCTGTTTATATTCCATCATACAACTATTCAAATTCAAAATTTTTACTATTTAAATCTATAACTCAAAATCCAAACCCCAAACAAACACACTGTATTTCATAGTATATTTATATTGTATTCTCCATTCTCTCATACCATCCAAAAACCTATCTTCCTCCCAATTGAAATTCAATTCCTTCCCCGTTCTCTCACATTCGGGTGAACCATATATCTTGGATAAATGATTGAGAAATTGCACTGAGGCACCATCGCTGTTCTTCGAGAAAAAGGTCTCCAGCAATCCTTCGATATGCAAGCATTCTTTTAGAGGCCTTTAAAAAAGCCTCTAAAATGACACAAAAACCATCCATACCAGATAAATTTTGAACATTTAATCAAACAATCAATCCAAGAACACCTCATCACTCATACCAGCTGTATAAATAAACTCAGATAGATATAAGAGTGATGGATAGATCATGACATGTTAAGAAACACAAAACCCCAAGAATAATTCCTACACTCCTATAAACCAAATAAAAAAAAAAAAAAAAAAAACCACAAGAACACAAGATTGAAGAAATAGGTGCACCTGATTCATTTAACCATCATCACCTGTCTTTGTTTCTTCGCGGGCCTTTGATGTAGGCGAAGGAGATGCCGCGCCATCTTGACCCATCTCAGTTCTAAGGTCGTTGATGCTCTGCTCCAACTCATCGATACGGTTGCCCATCTCATCAAGTGCATTCAAGTTAAGGAACCAAAACTTTCTTTTGCACAAATTGTTTCATCATGTGGAAAACATTATTCGATAGCCTAAATACGATTCGCAATGTGAAAGTGTGTATGTGTCCACATGCCATTTTAAATAGTACTACTAATTTAATAGAAACTAATGAAGAATAGCAATTGAAGGATATTTTTACTTATGATGGACTCCGACATTGTCTGGAACCGAGTTTGCTGCAATGGAATGAAAAATCAGAAGAGATGTCCAACCACAAGATACACTGAATCTCAATCATGATTATTAATAGATTACTCACCATTTGCTGGAGTAGGTTTTGTACCTGAAGAATGGAAACAGCAGCATCAGCAAACATAGTAATAAACTATAATAAATTATACTCCCTCCATCATCGAAAATTATGTCCGTATGGTTGGGTATGGGTTTTAATAAAAATGGGTAAAAATAGTTATTTTTCCTTTTTTTAGTAAAAAAAATTACAAAAGTGGTATATATTTTATTTTGTTTTTTACTATAAAAGAAATAAGAACATTTTTTTATGACAACCTAAAAAAAAAAAAAGATGAGCATAATTTGAATAACAGGAGTAGATCAAAACTCACATCATAGAAAAATTAATAACTCACCTAAAAGGAAAAACAGATACAAAGCCCATATTATTTTATCAGGACTGAGACCATGTTAAATGGTCACATCACCTTGATATACTGAGGAGATTTATTTTTTGTAAATACTTAATTACTTCAATGCACTCCCACACATGCAACTACGTATATTTCAAATAAAACACTTGCATAAATGAGTGACAGTGAGGATTCAAACTCAAAACCTTTTATTCTGATACAACATAAGATGACCGTGCCACCAAAAAAGATAAAAAGCATAACAGGAGGCACATATAATCTCATGCTCCATTTGGTTGGAGGGATTTTGGTCAAAAGAGTTTCGAAAGATTCAATTAAATTCATTAGTTTCTTTTGGCAAAATGACATATTTCAAATCATAAAATTAGGTGTTGATATCAAATATTTCTGTACAACCAAATGATGGAATTTAATTATGAAGCATTTCAAATCCCAAGTAGATCAAATCCATTCATTTAATCCAGCATCAAATTCAATTCATCCAACCAAACGATCCAAAGTAATTCAAATCCGTTCATTTAAAATCCAGCATCAAATCCAAATTCATCCAACCAAACGAGGCCTTATATGTATTTTATATTTTCATTTCATTTATCCCTATGTATTTGAGTCAAATTCATTAATTTCATTTGGCAAAGCAACATATTTCAAATCTCAAAAGTTACCTGTGATTTCAAATCTCAAAAGTTAGTTGTGGATTTAAAATCACCACCTTTAATATTTTAAATATCTTTGTACTATGTCATGTCAATTATTTGCTACAACCAAATGATGGAATTTAATTATGAAGTATTTCAAATCCTAAGTAATTCAAATCCATTCATTTAAAATCCAACATCAAATCCAAATTCATCCAACCAAACAAGGCCTTATATTTATTTTATATTTCATTTCATTTCTCCCACATATAAAGAGGATTCAATCCATAATAACAAGTGGCACATCCATACATGAACACAGATAAGATTGAACTTACAAATGTAGTCATATCATCAGTACTTTGTTTAGAATTATCTGCATCTCGTCCATCCTGCAGGCAAAGAAAAGTGAATCTGTAAGAAACACAAGAATGCACACAAAAAAGGCATCATATATACCCCATTATACTCCAACATATCAATAACAATAAATCAAATCAACAGCAGAGTTCCTGAATAAAATATAAAAGTTTTGATAAGTTCTTGATGGAATAAATTATAACAGTTTGATTCTTGATGAAATAAATTATTTTCATTAATAGGAATAAACATAAGTTTTCCATATCTTCGATTGATTACTTTTCTTATAATTAATGTTAAAAATGTTCTTGACAAATTTGATGAGAAATTCACTCCTCTTCTTCAAATGCACACAATCATACGTTCCAAAAAAAATAAAATAAATAAACATAAGGAAGAAACGCTGTCTGTTTAATATCTGGTTTTAGCAATAAAATACAGAGGACGTTTGCTTACAGTGTGCTCGAATCACAAAACCATCAATTCGCGAAACAACAAACTCAGCACAATAAGACCAAGCTTGATGATACTGCCAATTTTTCATTCATGTAAATTGATAATAATATAATCCAGCTGACGCAATCCATCTACACTGGGTTCTCTTCATTTTCATATGTATATATTTCTTTCAGCGTATATACAGACTCCTAAAGCAACTTATATTAAATTTATTAACATACAAATCTCTCTCTCACACACACACGAAAACGAAAATCACAGCAGCAACATCAACAACAAAACGGAGTAAAAGCAAATATAATATCCAAATTTCGGAAGAGTTAAAAAAATAAAAATAAAATAAAATAAAACACTAGATCGAGCGAGGATCCACTTCCAAAATATAAAGAAAAATCCGGATCGTCATAGCATCATCTAATGAAAACATTACCATTTTGGTTTCGAAGGATTCGTCAACTTGAATTAGAGCTCGCGATTCTGAGAAGTGAATTTGGGAAATTTTGAAATGCGAGCGTGGTAGGTGAACGGAAATGAAAAGAAAGTTCGAATGGAATTGGGGCAGAGGTCTTTAATGGGCCTTGTGCGCTGTGAAACAAGTAAAAATTATTTTTGGCATATTCTAATTATCATTTTTGGGGCCATTAATTTTATTTTATTTTTTTAGGTTAAATTGTATACCGTGATTTTTAAAAATTAAGCAAAATTTTTATATTGTTAAAATTGCGTCAAATATTGTAGAATTTATGAAATCATAAGGAGTTTATAAAAATATAGGGGATTTCGTGTAATTATGTAAAACTATGTATGAATTTTGTAAAATTTAACTTTTTTTTTTAATTTGGAGTCTTGTTGAATTTCAACATGAACATGACCATGCTCATTACTACATTGTGAATGCAACTAATTTCCTGCAAATATATTCATGAAATAACTATAAAAATAATATATTAATAAAAATATTTTGAAATATTATTTAAATAAAATCACAAATTAATATTTCGTTTCACATCAATTTTAAATAACAATAAAACAAATCCAAAATGAACAATTTATTGTTAACGTTTTCCCTCTCAGTTGCAATGTTAATAACATTAATTCTGGATAATATAGTCCCTTTGTGGCAAAGGGCTTTCGAAATTTTATAATAAATTAAAAAATAATAATATTTTATTATCGAGTGAAAGTGTGTAAGAAATGTTAGATTTTGACATTATAATTGTATGTGTAATAATATATTTGTTACTTAGGTAAAAATTAAAAATATTTTGGTATAAATGTATTATTATTTTTACTAAAATAAGAAATGAATGATTTGGAATCGGACAATGAAAATTATAAAAATAATACTTTGAAAGTTTGAATTGAGACGGAGAAAATATTTGCTTGCAAGTATTCAAATTAATATTTTACTGATTTTTATCAAATAACTCATATTTTCCAGGAATATATAATAATACAATATAAATTATGATATATTATTAATTTTCAACAAAATAAAATATATACGATACAAAATAATATATAAAATTGATTTTCTACAAAAACAAATATATATGAGATACAAGACAATATATAAAATTTAAAACATATGTATATGCGGTACAAGACAATATATAAAATTTAAAACATATATTTCCATATAGCAAATATTATATTTATTATATATAATAACACATATATTGTCTGTTTTGATTATGTATAATCAAATTAGCATGATCTTTTGATTTAATAAATCAGCAACACATGTGAAACTCAAAATTAGATTTCAGCAAGTGTTTTGTCTTCTCAGGCGGGAAGAGCAGGACTCCGGACAGTGATGAATCGGCGGCGACCTCGGCGATTCTTCAGGGAACAAATATGGAATAACTTCGGATTTGGCTCGGCGGTGAATGACTCTATAGGACATTATTAATTCAACGCCTCCAAACAAATTCCAACCATATCTCGACTCCTCGAAAAATCTCAAGAACTCACACAGATCACATAGAAGAACACACGACCGGAAAGATTGACAATAAGAGTAGTTGTAATGAAAATGAAAAAGAAAAAACTCCAAGACCACATAGAGAAGAAATTCTTATGAACGGAACAAGCAAACTTTTTTTTTTCACCAAAGCAAATAAGAGGAGTGGGGAGGTTATCGAACGGGTCGGGACCAATAGGATTCGAATCCAGATTATTAGAGTTTGGATTGTGGATTGGACAAATTTTATTTATTTAGTATAACTTATCTTGTCATACTTATATTTAACATACTATTAAGTTCGATACAAAATTTACTTTGTAATTAGAAGCCACAAATTCCCATTAAAAGGTATTTTATACTTTCACTAATCATCTAGGTCTAGGTCATTGGTTCAACGCTTGTCCAACTAAAGGGAATAATAAAATAAACAAAGTCCAAATAAAGTGAAGGAATATTAGCATAAAAAAGGCATATTATGTGCCCCACAGCTGTCTCTCAAACAAATGGATATTATCAAATTTTCACTCCATACCAACATCTTTAAAAAAAGAAAAACAAACTAAATTAATTTGCAGTTATGCAAATTTAAAATCATTTAGACATCACAAGACCAAAACTTTAATGATCCAAGGCCCAAAATAAATAGAAGTAATCTCAGATAACAGCATTAAACTGTGTAACGTAAGTACCACAATCATGATAAAAACCAATAACATTCAAAGACTCTTAGAAAGTTACAAGAAAACACCACCTCCTCTCCTTCAAAGATCTCCCTTTGTTGTCAGCCACCTTCATTGTTCAGCATTTCACTTCCTTCAAGCCAGGAGCGATGTACAAGAATGTCGGGTTGTTGGCACCTTCCTTGTAGTAAGCAAACACCATTCCAGCGTTATCAGCCATGCTCTCTCCCACAAAGCTGAGTGAAAATAAAAGAACATTCCATCAGATTCTAAATTTAAAACCATCCCGTGGATGTTTCATTAAAGAGTTTGTGATAGTTTTTCTTACAATTGCAGGTCTTTGAGTTTTCCAAGCAAATACTTTGTGGCACATTCAATGTTCTTCATAAAATGATCCTTATTCTCACCATCAAGTTTTTCAGACAATAACTTGATGTACTTCCTCATGTACGCAACAAAGGCCTTCTTATCGAAAGTGGGTTGTTCCTGCAAAATAAGTCAAACTTTTAGACCAATCCTTTGTCAACGATATTACAAGTAGCAATATAAACACTAACCTGAAGCCTGAAAGTGTCAATGATGTCAACAACCTTCACAGCTTGGTCATCAACACCCTCATCTTCTTCGCCACCTTCGGCTGAAGGGTTGGCACCGATGTTCACTTCAACTGCACCTTGAACTACCCACTGTGATCCAAAATCAAATCAAAAAAATCTTACAAAATAAGTACTCAATAGTCAAGATTCAAAATTCACAAACTGAATCAAAAAAATAAATACCTTTCCTTCCACCTCCCAAAGAATACCATTCTCAATTTCCTTGTAGGGGAAGGAGTCAGAGAGAAGCTCGTCACCTTAATCAATAATAATAAATTCAACAATCAAATTCTATTTCAAATAATATATCGTCAACAAGGCAATTTACAATTAGTGAAAGCTAATAGTATTTCTTAATGGAAGAACTCAAATCAAATTTTGAATCGAACAACATCATAATCGCTAAAATCAATATAATTAATATTATCTATTACAAATCGAACAGCAAAACAAAATTAGGGCAGAAACAGAACCACCTTCTGTAACACCAGATCCTCAAACACAAACCAACCGTACATAAAATTAACCACGAGGAACCAAAAGATCGAAACAGTAACACGTAATCAATTCAATATAAAACCATATCGCCCTCACTCGAAAATCACATATAGATCCACATATAAACCTAACTCAATTTCATTGTTTCGAATTACCTGAGATTAAATCTTGATAAACCAACATGGTTTCTGAATCTCTGCTCTCAGTTCGCTTCCACCGCCGAAGGAAAGTTTTCGATCAACAAGGAGGAGGTACGGCAGTGAATTGGAGAGAGGGTTTGACACGGATCTAGGTTGCAGATCTATATAGAGCGAGGGTTTTCAATGGAAAATATCTAAACTACCCATGCAAAACTATTATATATACAATTACGCCCCTGTCTCAATTATTTATCATTGGGCCATCCGTTTAGGCCCATTAACTATTGCATTACAAATGATATATATTTCTTCAATATTACTATTATGTTTTTTTAATTGTTTTTATATTTAAATTTAATTTTAAAAAACTGCTGTTATAAAAAAAACCTATTATCATTAATTATGTTAAAATTATTAATTAAATTTATTTTATTAAGATTCTGTTACCCATAATAATTATTTTTAATTTGAATTATTTTATTTTACAATAAATTTTATAAAAAAATTAAACTATATTTCAGTGCAATTATTTTAATTTAAAATATTATGTGAAAATTTATTTAAATTTTAAAAAAATTATAAATTTAATTTATTATTTTGAATACATTAATCTAATAGAACATAGATAGGGACTCCAATCCAATATTAAATGAATTAATTTATCACATTTCTTTTTAGTTAAGATAGGTTCAGGATATTAATTTAGATAGTTAATTAATTTATTTTATTTATGTAATATTTGTGAAAGAGTATTATTTTACTTTTTTTTTATCAGATGAAATATTGAAATAAAAGTTGAAAAAATATTTATTTATATTTTTATTATGTTTAATATTTTATATCCTATAATTAAATTTGAAAAATAAACTGTATGAATTGTAAATAGTAATTAGATAAATAAAATATAAAACTAATTTAAAGAATAAATAGCAAGCATAAATTAACAATATCTAGACATGAAATTCTTCTTAATTTTTTTTTTAAAGAAAAGAAAGTATTTTTACTAGCTTTACTTCGTCCCAAAAGAAAATAATATATATATATATATAAAAGATGAAAAAAATTTCCAATTAAAAAAAAAAAAAAAAGATAAAAAAAGAAGAAGATGAAAACATAAAATTAATTTGATTGTTGCTAGCATGTGACAGGTGACTTTGGATTTGTTTACTCTATCAAATATATCTTCTCCTTTATAAAATTTTTATCTAAAGGGAGCCTTTAACCTTTACATTATTTTAGAAAATTTAATACATATGTAGAATTATCCATAATATTTTCAAAATTTTTTTCCAAAATATTCTTTAGACTTTATGCCTCATTTCCTCAACTATGAAATAATTAGGGTGATTTTTTATATTTTGTTAAATTTATATAAGATAAATAAGTTAATATAATAATAAAAAAAATATATAGGTATTTTACAGTAATAAATTTACAAAAGTTACTATATGAATCATGTCATGTACTCATGACAAGAATTGGTAGAAGCATATATTATATATACCAGAATATTTATTGTGTTGATTGGGTTTATTATATATACGAGAATATTTATTGTGTTGATTGGGTAAATCAATACATATAAATGGGCTGATATATATTTTGGCATTGAGGCCTACAATGCACATAATTGATCCGTCCAAATTGAAGCTCGGATCCGGCAACCCTCTACCCGACCCAAATCTTTGAGAGACCCACTGCCTGGATCTGAACCGGTCTGGTCTGAACGGGACTGAACCGGTCTGTTCTGATTGTTATATATATGCTAGACTGGTTCAGTCTCACGATAATTCATTCGATACACAACAGATCCTTGTGATTCTCTCTTGAAAGCCCTAGGCGATTCCAATGTGATTCAGTCGACTTCGCACCTGCGTTCTCCGGTGAATCTGTCCGGCGATTTGGAAAAATCTTATTCTCCTTCGATGCACGCCTTCCCTCTTGGGGTTTCTACGGTTTGGGTTTCGGTTTAGCGTGTTTGTTGCGTTTCCGTGGCGTGTCGTTTGTGATTGGGTCTTGGATGTGTGTTTGATGTAGGTTGGTTTGATATTATGGTAAACTGAGTCTGAACTGTTGCTTCCGTAATAAATCAAAGTTTTCTTTAAGTTTTCTTCGATGGTGATTTGATTTCGAGAGAATATAGCCTATTGGATCTTGGATTAGTAATAACATGGGCAAATAATATATTTTTTATTTAACGTAGACATATTGTGTTACATAAAAATATGTATTGTCAGTTCGTATATGTAGATATGTTGTCCAAAATGATTTTATATATTAAAATCAATTGTAGCTTATATATTATGTAAGATTATATGTTGTATATAATTATATTATGTATTATCAGCACCGGTGGAAGTGACACAATACAATATATTGAAAATTTTACGTCATATTGTACATTACATCGTATATATCAGTATAAAAAAATCATATCAATGTTTTACGAACAATTTGATCTACCAACTTACAATTTGATCTACCAACTTACGATATACCAAGAACTACGGTATAAATTTTTTAATATTGTTATCGTACCGAATTTTCGGCATATTTTATTGAAATTCGGTATGCAGGGTATCGTTTATCATACTAAAATTAACAATATACTAAAAAATTACATGTATATCGATGAACAAAAAATAACTAAAGATATTAAAAATCATCATAATTACAAATAACTCTTTGATCCATAGTATAATTAGTAAGTAATTAAAAAGTATATTAGTAAAATTAATTATTGTATAATAAAAACAATTATATATTAAAATTAAAATAATTAAATAGTCTAATTAAAATTAAAAAATTATAAATTATGAATTTTAAAATATGATTAAAATAGATAATCATATTTCAAAAAAAAAAAGACAAATTATTTGGGACATATCGCAATAGAAAATGTGAACATTTTATGTGAGATAGAGATACCCTCTGTCCCAAAAAAAGAGTATTATTTGTTTTTTGCAAGTAGATTTTTTAATATTAGTATTATATTGATTTGTAGTAAAAAAGACAAAAGTATTCATACCAGTATTGTGTAATATAAAATTAATGATATTTGTGTAATATATTGTAAATTGTAAAAGTATTTATTATGTTAGATAAAACATACAATTATTAAATTAGGAAACGTCACTCTTATTTTGCACTATAAGAAACTATCAATTTTGTAATGAGGTTTTTTCGTTCTTAAATTCATTTTTTCCGTTACTAATGATATTAGAGACGAAATTAGAAATGGAATTACGTTAGCTACGTGAATTTTAGGATCAGAATTCTGTTACAAATATACTATTTTTTTGTTTTTTTAGTGTTGGGACATAATGATATTCTTATTATGGAACAAAAAGAATATATTAATACTTTTTATTTAATTTTAATATTTAATTATTTTATTTTATTCATTATTCTAGTATATACTGTAATACACATATATATTGAACATTGATATATATATATAAATATATTTGGATCGTCATATATATATATATATATATGTAATAAATTTCGGTATAATAATGTTATATCACGATATGCAAAATTTTAGTATATTGTTACCTATTAAAAAAATTATGTATGATATCATACATTTTTATTTTTTTTATATTTTTTCGATATGATATGAATGATACCGTATTGTTTGTATTTTTATCTACCCCTGAGCATTGTGCTAAAATTCAGTACAATAATAGAGGTCATATATAAATATGTTCTATAAAAAATTTGAACATAATTGCATATTATTCATCTATCATTTTCTTAAAATTACATTAAATTAACGAGATTATTTTATGTAGTTAATTCTCAGCATTATATCCTGTATGTGATTGTTTTGAAGTAATGATAAAAGTGCATTTTATAAAAATATGTGCCTATCATTCGAAGAAGTTTGAAGAAATTGAATTTGAGTTTGAGTTAAATTTAAAAATGAGTTTTAAAATTTTGTATTCTTTTATATTTATAAATTTGGTTAGTGTTTTCTATTGATTTGATAGGTAAAAAATATAATAATATAAATTAAATTAAATTAAATTTATAAAATTAATAATAGTGTAAATTATAAATTAATATTTATATTTTATTTATTTATTTATATTATATTTTATTTTATTTTTTTACAAAATGATACATATATTGTATATATTTTATTAAATTATCATTATTATAATAATTAAATAATTATTTAACTGTAATTTTATATAGCCGTGCAAATGTGATCATATACTTTTTATTTTTTTATATTATTATTTTTTCAAAACAAAATCAATGTGTCAGCTGCCTACCTCTAGGTAACAAAAATTGTCACCTTTATACTAGTCTCATGTCCAAACTATTGTCAACGAGTTTTGGCCAAAAGAAACACACCCTAAAATAAATATACAAAATATAACTTTTTATTTAAAAAAATACTATATCCAATTTTTACCTTAATATATATATATATATAATACTATTATATTTAACACTTACTTTTACTTTTAAAAGATATAAAATAAAAATAAATATGTGTGTTTTATGATTTGTACACACGCTAACAAATATTAGTGAAAAAAATAAACCAAAAGGAAAAAACATACAAAACAAAAGAATCCTTTAAATTTTAGCCTTAAAATTTCAATTCTCTTTAACTGTAAACAAAGGCCAAGAAAGAAATGAGAACACAATAACAAAATGCATTGCTTAGACATGAGAGTTTTGGGAGTTTTGAAGTATTGAAAATTTAAAATTACAAAAAATTTAATATTTTATGTGATCTTTTATAAAAGAAAAAAAAATATTCGATGTGATTTAGTTTTTTTTTTGGTTTTTTGAAAAGTGTCAAAATTTCAAAATTTGTTGTGTAAAACCAATCTAAACTTTAATTCACAATATACATATTATATAGTTCATCCAAATCACATGGATACAACATCGCAAAAATCTCCAAAATGATGAGTTGTGGAGAGATGCCTAAGTAAAGTTTTACATATAATAGATAATTATGATCGAAACTCTAAAGAATCAATAATTCAAGAGCAACTAGACTACTACGATTACACGGTTCATCTCCTAATCTTTATTGATAGTGTGTTTTTAAAAGAATAATACTAACTCCGTCGTTTGGACAAAGAAATTGAGTTTCAAGTAAACTTCACAATAATTTAAATTAAATCCCAATAATTACGAAACAATAACATTTTTATTAAAAAAAAAAAAGTAATAATTTGACTATTAATTAAACAAAATAAAGAAAAAAAATACAATGAAACATAAGCCATGTAATAATAGTAATTATTGCCCGGTAAGAATGGTAGAGTGATCGGTGACTATAATGTCACTAGTTAATACTACGCAACGTCTTCTTAGTCTAGCTAGTTTGCTATACAAAACTTGCATCCAGAAATTTATTCGAGTATTGTACTTATATTTTTATACATAAATATATTATTCAATTTTTTAATATTTTTTAGAATATTACATCTAATATATATATATATATATATGTATTTATTAATTATCTCTCATATTTTTGTCTATTTAGAAATACTACTAAAAGAACAAACCCTAAAAATCTGTAAAAGTAATTTTATTTGTCCCTTCACCCAAATTTTTACTGCTCAATAATAGAATAAAATTGTTATTAGTATATGCTTATTAATTATTGGTCAAATTTATGTCTGCTTTTATTTGAATTTGAATTTGATTTTTATTATTGAATTATCTATATAATTTTTTTTCTATTCTTGTCTTCTTTCTTTTTATTTTATTTTATTTTATTACCTATATTAAATGCAATTATCAAATCTTCTTAATATGTTTGAGGAGTGTGTAGAATAAATAACAAGTCATCAATTAAATATATAGATTTTAATGAGTTTACAAAACGAGTAGTAAAATTTTAATTTTCTTTTGGTGTTTTACTCGCTTTTACTTTGCTTCCAAAAACAAAAACAGTTTGAATTTATATGAACTTTTACTTTTGTTCATGTGTTTGTTTAGTTTTTTTGAACTTTCATGATTCTCTAAAAATATTATTCAAAAAATATAATATATATATAACAATAAAAATGAAAAAAACAAAAACGAAAATTATTTTACAATATCTTCGTATATTTTCATATCTCATAATAAAAACACCTAAAAGTAATAAATAATACTATAAAACAAATAAAGAGTTTGTTCACTTCATGTTTTTAAATAGATGTATTATTTTTTAATGTTAAATTTGAGGAATTGTATTGATAATAGAAAAAATAATATTTTGTATTTGAATTATTGATTTTTTTATAAGTAGATAACATATAATGTTAAATTTGAGGAACTGTATTGATAATAAAAAAAATAATATTTTGTGTTGAATTATTGATTTTTTTATAAGTAGATAACATATACTCCCTCCGTCTGCTTTTTACAAGTAGATTTTTGAATATTCGTATTATATTGGATTGTAGTAAAAAAAGACAAAAATACCCCTATTAGTATGGTGTAATATAAAAGTAATGATATTTGTGTAATATATTGTAAGTTGAAAATATATTTATTATGTTAGGCAGGTAGTACAATTACTAAATTAGGAAATGATAACATTGTTTTGGAGCGGACGAAAATAGAAAATAGTAAGGAGAGAGTATTTTATATTGTGGGAAATGAATATTGTATATTTCTAATAATATTTATAAAAAATTATTGCAACAAAAACACTAAATGAGCAAATTCAGACTTTATGAACATTTTTTTATAATAAATGTCTTAACAAAATACTGATTTATAGAATAATACTATAAGTTTTATTTATATCTTTAATGTCTATTAAATAATATTACTGTAATCAATTTCCATAATATATATCCTCTCATTATTGTAATATTAGTTTTTTTTTTGTAATTTTATTTTATTTCATATTTAGTTATTTAAGAGTTTTTAACTAGTATGAGTGTGTTTATTTAGTATTTATAGTTAAAATAATTTTTTATAAATATTATTTAAAAATGTAATATATGTATTAGGAAAAATCATTTTTGTCCAAGTATAACAAAAATTCATCGGTTTCAATATAAAATATATATTATATTAAATAATATAAAAAATATTGAAAAAGTAAATAAACAAATTAATTAAATAATGCACAACAAATTTGAGGTGTGTTTAGCTGTAATTTCAAATCGAAATAAATATTATTTATTATTTTTCTAAAAGTTATATAAAATTAAATTACTATTTAGACAAAATTTAAAATTACTTTGAAACGTTGGCCAAACTAACTACCGTTGAATTCGATGTAAAAATTTAAATTATAAAACAATTTTTATAATACAAGACAATATTACATCATAATATAAATTATTTAAATTTTACATAAAAACACGTGTCTAAACAAAATACAGCACTGTACACTACCTGAAGTGAGGCAACATGAAATGACGAAAAAGCCCCTCCAGTTCTCCCCTAACAATATTCCCCTCTCCATTCACATTCACTACACAAGCCTCTTCTTCCTCCTCCCTCGTCAGCCATCGCCAGATTCCCTCACAAAAACGCAGACAATCAAATCCAAATTCCTCCCTCAAATCAAACCCTAACAACGACGATCCAATCCGCAGACGAGTTCCAGGCCATGGCGCCGTGGTGGCTCCCCTCAACCCAGCTGCGTTCGAGAAGCAGGTCGGCGGGCAGGCCGCGGATCAAGTACAGGTCGCTGAGGGAAATCCTCAGCACCGCCGGCCGGGCGGTGGTCCTCGACAGCGACGACGAGGATGTCGACGGTGACGCCTTCTACAGCCGTATGGCCTGCGAGCAATGCGGCAGCGGCGACCGCGGCGCCGAGCTGCTGGTCTGCGACGAATGCAATCGAGGGTACCACATGCTCTGCGTCCGCCCCATCGTCCCCCGAATACCTAACGGCGCCTGGCTCTGCCCTGCCTGCTCCCGCCAGCTCCATCTTCCCCTCGAATGTAAAACCTCCAATTGAATCTCCACACACTCATGCACGTAATTGTGATTAGATCCGCCGATTTGTCGATACGGTCGAGAATTTAATTTAGGGTTTTCTGTGAATTCATGGCGATGAAGATGGAGATAGAGATGGAGATGGAGATGGAGATGAGATTTGAATTGATTGTCTGCTAATTTAATTAATTAATTAGTTTGTTATTTCATGTGCAGGTTATACACAAAGGAAGCTTTTCGAGTTTTTCCAGATTGAGAAGGATAAGGATGGGGAAAGCACTGCGAAGGAATGCGGATCCACCAAAGGTTGTAGATTTCTTCAGATGGATTTTCTCAAAGAAAAGATTTATTAATTTATTTTTTGGGGTGATATATATATATATATATTATATATACACCTGAATTTTTCGTAGCAAATTAAAGATCTCTCATGAATCAGTTTCCAAGATTAAAAAATAAAAAATAAAAATTGAGGGTGATATATATACTTGAATTTGTTCGATCAAAGCAAAGATCTCTCATAAATCAGCTTCAAAATATTAAAAAAAAAAAAAAAAAAAACAAAGAAAGAAATCTTGGGGGTGAGTCAAATATTGTATGTATGTATATATATAAAATATTCTCAAATCAAAGATCTGGCATGAACCAGTTTCAGAAAATTTTCTTGGAGGTGATTTATATATACTCAATATTCTTAATACAAAAAGGGTTTTTCAAAAATTTTCTGGTTTATTTCCTCAATGCAAAGATCTCTCCTTGATCATGGTTTCAATGGAATAGCTTGAAACATTTTTGTTTACAAAGTACAACACTTTTCCTTTGTCCATGGAACATCAAAACACCATTTCCATTACAGCATAAAATGGTGTTTCAATTTAGTGTTCCTCACACCATTTTGGTGTAAAATATATTCATTGGGGTTTATAAAATTTTGGTGTAAGCATATTACCAAAGATGTCTTTTTTACACTAAATTAAGTGTCCAAAGTTAGACATGCTCTTAGTAATGAGTCTTCTAACATGATGTGTGTGTGTGTGATTATCTTATGGGTAGAAATTGTTCAACTCTAAGGTTTTAAAGCTTTTGTTTATATATATATATATATATATATACAAATATATATTCCTACCAATATCTTTGTATTGTTTAAAGACATCCCCTTGATTAGGATTTTGTGTATCCATTGTCAATGAAAAATTTCTCTACATGAAGAAATACCATTTACATGACAAATAACTTCAACTACACCTCCATACCTATTTTAACTCTCAAGAACAAATAGGTTTGATGCAATCTATGCTATAGTCATTTTTTTTCTCATGATTTTAAATTCTTGCAAAAGAGAATGACTATCAAGCTTTAATTACTGTACTAAGGCAACAATTGGCATTCTTCCAATGTATGTCCTAAATAATTCATACTTGATATCTTAAAGAAAGTTTTGAAACATACATAAGGTAAGCATTAGCTTTTTATACTTTGGAGTAGATTGGTTATGCTTCTTGTATGATTTGGATTAGCTTGGTAAGTAAATGAGGTTGTAATTGTTAGAACATCGATCGCCTATTAGTGTGAAAGACTTGCACCGAATTAGAACATTTCGCGACATAAAGAGCACAATCTAAGGCGATATTTGTAACAACTATTTATAGTAGATGGCGAAGAATCAATGGTCGTTAGTTAGATTCTTTTTTATCGCGTGAATATTAGGAAATCAACAACTTAGATGACAAAAAATGTTTAATGAAGCATGTGTTGGTTATAATTAAGGCACACTTTGTCTTTAGTGAGAGTTGATGCTCTAATTTTTGGCAAGTTTCGATAATACATTGATAGATTTTTGTCACTTTCTTTAAAAAGCCGACATCGAAAGAATTAAATAACCATAACATATATATGGTAAGGTTTCGTTAATTCAGTTGTGCTGACTTTTACTTTGTCGTTTCTCTGTTTGTTAATTCAGTTGTGCTGACTTTTGCTTTGTCATTTCTCTGCTTCTAGATGGATAACATACTTACTTTCCCTTTATTGTTGTAGATTCTAAAAAGCGTCGCCGGCGTAGCCATACATTGGTGGTTCAAAAGCGACGAAGAAGATTGCTGCCATTTGTTCCTACAAAGGATCCATCAAGACAGTTGGTACAGTTAAGATCTCACGCCGAGGCTTTGCGAGCTCACGGCATGGAATTCTGCAACGAGTTGACTTATGTGCCCGGCATGGCCGACAGATCAGAAAATCAAGCTAAGTTCGAAAATGGAGGAGAAATTCAGGTGTAGTGAGAATATATCATATTTTGTGTAATTTTTATCGGTTAAGTCTTTAACTACATTGATCGTTGAATGCATCATTTGTGCTCTTTCAGATTCTTTCAAGGGAAGATATCGCCACTTTGGAGCTGTGCAAAGCTATGAACAAAAGAGGAAAGTTTCCGCCTCTTCTTGTAACTCATGATGAAGTTGAAGGGTACTCGCCAATGATAGATTTGCTCGATATTTTGATTCCATTAATTATATTGTTAGATATATACTAGATTGGAATTTAATTAATTTGAGTCTGCAGGTATGTTGTCGAAGCTGATGGCCATATAAAGGACATGACCCTAATTGGCGAATATGCAGGGGACGTCGACTACTTCAAGAACCGGTTTCGCGACGATTCTGATAGCATGATGACCCTCATTTCTGCGACCAATTTTGTCGAAAGCCTTGTAATTTGTCCCGATAAGCACGGGAACATTCTCACCTTCATTAGCGGCATAAACAATTCAACTCGGTAGGCATTCTGCATTTTTTTTTTATCGATTTTTTTTTCTTGGTTCTCAAACGCTAACTCGAACTGATCTCACTCTGTACCTGCAGGGAAAGTAAGAAGAAAGTGAATATCAAGTGCCTGAGGTACGATGTGAATGGCGAGTGCAGGGTTATTCTTGTTGCGGCGCGGGATATCGCCAAAGGCGAGAGGCTGTACTATGATTACAACGGCCACGAACACACCTATCCGACTCATAATTTTGTCTGAGTTTCGTGGTTGTCGTAATTTTTTTTTTTTTATTTTTTTATTTGAAGAAACAATATACAAATTTGTCTGTCCTTCCTTGTGCTTGTGTTGGATTGTATTATTGTGGCTTGTTTGTTTGTTGTGTGTTTAAGTGGCACCAAGAACCTCGTGGTGCCGAGCAAATGTATTTGGTGCTCGCGTGCTCAAGCGCTCGAGCGCATAGCCATTGATGTAAATCGAAACTTTCATTGCTCTGTTGGTTGGTTGAATCTTTATGTATCTTCTTGTTTTTAGAAACTAATGTTTTTTTTTGTTTCATCGCTATTCACTTATTCGGGGAGTTTGCTAGGCATTTGTGGATTCTTTTGTGTGTTTTGTGCTAACGTAGTGAAACTCTATTAACAGGATTCTCGAGGGTATCGAATAATCTTTTGACTGATGGCGAAATATTCGAGGCGGAATCATTCAACCCGTGGATTTGTCAGAACGCGCTAAAGGGTCGTAGACAATTCTTTTGAGGTTTAAGAAGGTAATTGGCTTTATTACATAAGTTTTATACATATATATATATTTGTATTTATCTTTTGCCTAATTTGGAGGCTTTTCATAATCTTTATACAAGAATTGGTTAAGTGTGCTTCAATTGAATTGTGAGAATGAGATGACATGTGATGTTATAGGTGTTGTGTTTTTGTTCATTGAAGTGTAAGTTCTAAGAAAGTGTAGACAAATTTGTTTTGTAGAAACTCTTTGATTTGGTTCTTGTGTTGTGTGAGATTGCCATGGTTCTAAGTCACTTTTATGTTCTAAATGTGACTTTCTTTTATCATTCAATAATTTGTTCACTTCCCCTTTATATATATATATATATATATAATTTTGTTGCTTAGTAACACTCATTGTTCTGCTGATTGAAAATGTAATATGTTATGTAGTATGAGATTTTGTGGCTGTTCCAAATTATATGAAGGAAGAAAAACACGAGAGACTATATTTGGAACTACTAATTAATCCACCCAATACCATTATATTTGTTCCCAATCATCTTTATATATCTTTATTTTTAATTTTTTTCATTTGTTACTATTGTAACAAGAAAAAAAACAGGCTGTAAATTAGGGGTGTCCTTGTTTGGGGATTGAATTTTAAATACATTATTCATCTTAATTTTTCCTCCAAAAATATCAAATTAAATACATATTTTTTATTTTTTTTATTATACTAAAAATTAATATTACATTTAAAATATCACATCAACACCTATTTATATTACATCGTACTACTATTCAAATTCAAAATTTTTACTATTCAAATCCCAACTCAAAATCCAAAACACCCAAACAAGTCAATCAAGAAAGTTACTCAAGGTAGGTTCTGGTTCTGGGCAACATACATAAGGCGTCGATGAGAATCATATTGATGTCCTTGCTGTCAGTAGCTTAAACACTGCACCAAATAGCTCATTCTTTACAAATATATTGATATAATGCTTGTTTGATTTTGTTTGATAACTTTTTTTTTTTTTTTTTTTTTTGTAAAAGAACAAAACTAGAACTTTTTAAAAAAAAAAACTAGAATTTTTATGTGAATGGATAGAATAATTTATATTTCATAAGAGAATTAGTTATACTCAAATTTATTGAATTTCATATTGATTTAATTTATGTCAAATAATTTTTAACCTAGTTTCCAAATGCTCAGAATTAGAAAAAAAGTAGAGCTAAAAGTAATGGCTGACATGTAGTGTAGAAGTTCTTTTTGTCCCCTTTTGTAAGTTTAGACTGCGGCGTAATAATTTTCATAAAGTGAGTTTAATTTCGAGCCTCCAAAATCGATTGAAAATCGATTGCCCTTGAGCAGATGATGGATAATCAATGCCTCATTTTTCTTCTGACTTCGTTCTCTCTTCTTCTTTCCAAACCCAACTTATTGCCGCATTTCGAGGCTCAATTCCATAGAGTAGGGAAGACAAAAAGCAAGCAGAAATAACAGAGGAAAACCGCCGTCGTCGCCCGCCGCCGCTGCAGGAGTTGTCATTGTGGAATTTCTGGTGGTGTTGAGGACAAGTCGTACTGAATTTGTTTTAATTAAATCTTTTTTTGGAAAAATAAATAATACTCTCTTTGTTGCAAATGTGCGCTCATTTGATCGGACATGAGTTTTAATAAAAATGAATAATAATTGGTAACTTTTTTTACAGTAAAAAAACCAGTAAATTTTTTTTTAAAAAATAAACGAGAATATTTTTTTATAACTACTTAAAACAGAGGGAATAATATATGTGGAGGCTTCTTGCAGTAAAAAATATTAATTTAGCCCGAGTCGGAAATATTGGCTTTGACATGTAACTCAAAGTTTTTGTTTATATATATATACTCCTACCAATATCTTTGTAGCGTTTAAAGACATCCCCTTAATTAGGATTTTGTGTGTCCATTGTCAATGAAAAATTTCTCTACATTTATAAGTTCAACTACACCTCCATACCTATTTTAACTCTCAAGAGCAAATAGTTTTGATGCAATCTATGTTATAATAATTTTTTTCTTGAAAAAATTGTCTCATGATTTTAAATACTTGCAAAAGAGAATGACTATCAAGCTTTTATTACAGTACTAAGGCAACAATGTCATTCTTGGATGTATGTCCTAAGAAATTCATACTTGATATCTTATAAGAAACTTTTGAAACATAAGGTAGGCATTACCTTTTTATACTTTGGAGTAGATTGATTATGCTTCTTATAAGATTTGGGTAAGTACATGAGGTTGTAATTGTTAGAATATCGATCGCCTATTAGTGCGAAAGACTTGCACCGAATTAGAACATTTCGCGACATAAAGAGCACAATCCAAGGCGATATTTGAACAATTTATAGTAGATGGCGAAAAATCAATGGTCGTTAGTTAGATTCTTTTTTGTCGCGTGAATATTAGGAAATCGACAACATAGACGACAAAACATGTTTAATGAAGCATGTGTTGGCTATAATTAAGGAATACTTGTCTTTAGTTAGAGTTGATGCTCTAATTTTTGGCAAGTCTCGAAAAAGTGATAGATTTTTGTTGCTTTCTTTAAAAAGCCGACATCGAAAGAATTAAATCACCATAAATATCATAATGTTTCTCTAATTCAGTTGTGCTGACTTTTGCTTTGTTATTTCTCTGTCCGTTAATTCAGTTGTGTAGAATTTTGCTTTGTCGTTTCTCTGCTTCTAGATGGATAACATAATTATTTTCCCTTTATTGTTGTAGATTCTAAAAAGCGTCGCCGCGGTAGCCATACATTGGTGGTTCAAAAGCGACGAAGAAGATTGCTGCCATTTGTTCCTACAAAGGATCCACCAAGACAGTTGGTACAGTTAGGATCTCATGACGAGGCTTTGCGAGCTCACGGCATGGAATTCTGCAACGAGCTGACTTATGTGCCTGGCATGGCCGACAGATCAGAAAATCAAGCCAAGTTCAAAAAGGGAGGAGGAATTCAGGTTTAGTGAGAATATATCATATCTTGTGCAATTTTTATCGACTAAGTCTTTAACTACATCGACCGTTGAATGCATCATTTGTGCTTTTTACAATCAGATTCTTTCAAGGGAAGATATCGCGACGTTGGAGCTGTGCAAAGCTATGAACAAAAGAGGAAATCTTCCGCCTCTTCTTGAAACGCATGATGAAGTCGAAGGGTACTCACGAATGATAGATTTGCTCGATATTTTGATTCCGTTAATTATATTGTTAGATATATACTAGATTGGAAATTTAATTAATTTTAGTCTGCAGGTATGTTGTCCAAGCTGATGGCCATATAAAGGACATGACCCTAATTGGCGAATATGCAGGGGACGTCGACTACTTCAAGAACCAGTTTCGCGACGATTCTGATAGCATGATGACCCTCATTTCTGCGACCAATTTTGTCGAAAGCCTTGTAATTTGTCCCGATAAGCACGGGAACATTCTCACCTTCATTAGCGGCATAAACAATTCAACTCGGTAGGCATTCTGCATTTTTTTTTTTTTTTTTTTATCGATTTTTTCTTCTTGGTTCTCAAATGGTAACTTGAACTGATCTCACTCTGTACCTGCAGGGAAAGTAAGAAGAAAGTGAATATCAAGTGCCTGAGGTACGATGTGTATGGTGAGTGCAGGGTTATTCTCGTTGCGGCGCGGGATATTGCCAAAGGCGAGAGGCTGTACTATGGTTACAATGGCCACAAACACACCTATCCGACTCATAATTTTTTCTGAGTTTCGTGGTTGTCGTAATTTTTATTTTTTTATTTTTTATTTTATCTGAAGAAACAAGATACAAATTTGTCTGTCCTTCCTTGTGCTTGTGTTGGATTGTATTATTGTGGATTGTTTGTTTGTTGTGTGTTTAAGTATTATTGTGGATTGTTTGTTTGTTGTGTGTTTAAGTGGCACCAAGAACCTCATGGTGCCGAGCAAATGTATTTGGCGCTCGCGTGCTCAAGCGCTCGAGCGCATCGCTATTGATGTAAATCGAAACTTTCATTGCTCTGTTGGTTGGTTGAATCTTTATATCTTCTTGTTTTTAGAAACAAATGTTTTTTTTTCTATCGCTATTCACTTACTCGGTGAGTTTGCTAGGCATTTGTGCATTCTTTTTTGTGTTTTGTGCTAACATAGTGAAACTGTATTAGCAAGATTCTCGAGGGCATCGAATAATTTTTTGACTGATGGCAAAATATTCGAGGCGAAATCATTCAACCCGTGGATTTGTCAGAGCGCGCTAAAGCGTAGTAGACAGTTATTTTGAGGTCTAAGAAGGTAATTGTCTTTATTACATAAGTTTTATACATATATATATATATATATATTTGCATTTATCTTTTGCCTAATTCGGAGGCTTTTCATGATCTTCATACAAGAATTGGTTACTTGTGCTACAATTCAATATATATTTTGTTTATGTTCTAAATGTTACATTCTTGAGCTCACTTCCTTTTTTTTTTTATAATATGAGAATCCACAATCGTTACTTGACGAGTTCACTATGGATAAATTTTCTGTCGAACTTAATATATTGCAAGCTAGATCTAACAAGGTAAGTCACACATGTGTGGCATGTGGATCTGGACTTGGTTTCTCACTTCCTCTGTATATGCTTTTCTTGCTTAGTAACACTCGTTAATTGTTATGCTGATTGGAAATGTAACATGCTATGTAGTATGAAATTTTGTGGCAGTTCATGAAGGAAGAAAAAAACAAGGAACTATGTTTGTAAGTACTAACTAATCCACCAATACCAATTATATTGTAACCCTGTAAGAGTGGTATAACAGCAACAGGTGAATGCAACGTCCGAGCCTACAGTGGCGGATCTAAAGAGGGGCTCGATGGGGCAACCCTAGCCCCCAAATTATTTATTTGGTTAGTTTAAAATTAATGTTTTTAATATAACTTGCTAAATTTTCTTTCTAAAATACTAAGAATGTATTTCTTTTGGCCACGTTTGGCCAAAACTACTGTATTGGTACTGTACGAAGTGATTTAGGGCATCTACGTCATCATATACAATTAAAAAAAAATAAAAATGATAAAATGGAAAGTAATGGGTGCAGAAGGGGTGTTGGGCAGAGCAACCCAATAAAACTTTTTTTTTTAATTTTTCTTTTTAAATATCATTTTGTTGAGTAAAAAAAATCAATGTATAGGTTTCTTGAGAATGAGCTTATAAATTGGATTGATGTATAGTCCAATGGGCCTGATAATGACAGTAGCGTCTTAAATGAAGTTGGGCGAAGAAGGATGAAATGACCGATAAGGAGGTCGGACAAGATAAGGTCGGACGAAGAAGGATGAGACGACCGATAAGGAGGTCGGACAAGATAAGGTCGGGCGAAGAAGGATGAGATGGCAGACATGGAGGTCGGACAAAAGGAGGTCGGGCGAAGAAAGATGAGACGGCCGATACGGAGGTCGGTCAAAAGGAAGTCGGGGTAAGAAAGATGACACGGCCGATAAGGAGGTTGGTCAAAAGGAGGTTGGGCGAAGAAAGATGAGATGACAGACACGGAGGTCGGACAAGAGAAAAGGTCTGTTAATTAGTCGGGCAAAGAAAGGTCTGTTAATTAGTCGCTTAATTAAGCGACCTTTTAATCGATTGATCGATTGGCCGGTCATTTGGTCAAACAGTAGTTCAGTCGCTTGAAAGGGCAGTCAGTTGGTCGCTTGATTGGGCGACCAATGAATCGTCTGGACGAACGGTTGCTCAGCCGTTTGAAGGGACTGGATGGTGGTCGCTTGATTGCGCAACCAATGAATCGTCTGGACGAACGGTTGTTCAGCCGTTTGCAGGGACTGGATGGTGGTCGCTTGATTGGGCGACCGATGAATCGTCTGGACGAATGGTTGTTCAGCTATTTGAAGGGACCAAATGGTGGTCGCTCGAGTGGGCAACTGATTAGTCGTTTGGTCTAGCGACCAGTTAGTATCTGGATTGGTCGGTTGGTCAATCGTTGGGTTATTCGGTAGGTTCAGTCGGTGGATGGTCCAGCCGGTTTTTCAGTCGGATGGTGATTTATGATCCGTCTGAAAAGACGGTTGAGAGAAGTTACAACCGGCGAGCGGATATGAAGGCACGACCTGGTTGTGGCGGTTGACATAGGTTTTAAATAGGTCTGTTCATGACCTAAAGAAACCATTTTCAATCGGTCGGTCTGCAGTCTGTCTAAAGTATGCTGGGCGGTTGGGTAGTTGTTCGGGACCAGCCATCCATTTAAGGAGGAAAGGTGTACAGAGGCGTCGGTCGAGCCAGTTGGGTTCTATAACTGGTGGGAGCGGTTGGTGAAATAGTTAAAACACATGTCAATGGAGGAGAAATTAGTGGGGCGTTGACGGCGGTTGCTGTAACCGAACAGACGACGGTTCCAAAACGTTTCTTTAGGGACTATTTAAAGATCTGAATCTATTCTGGAAAGGCATATTCAATCGACAATCAAATACAATGAATTACTTTTGGGGATCACCATTTTACTTTTACAGTCTGTAGTATTTATTTTTCTATTTTACTTATGTATCGTACAATATTTAGGGATTCTTAAATCTCAGGCATTTTATTTTATCAAATTCGAAGATAATCTCTATTTTCGGATTTGACTTTTTATTGTTGAAAATTTGCATCAACAGTTTGGCGACCCCAATGGGAGAAATGCAAGATTACTGATCCTACGTCAAGAGAGAATTTTATACGACTGAGGTCCGACCGAATCATCAAAAGGATCCATATGGCAGGTTCACAGCCCCAAGTATCTTGAACACCGGTGGGAGAAACAATTTCACCACCTGCTATGCCGAATGCAGGGGAAGCACCATAAGTACCTGCCGATTGGGTGTCTTATGTTCAACAATTGAACAATCAGCAAACTTTGGTCATGCAGAATATGTTGTGTGAGCAACAAAATCTCATGCAAAACATGCTAGATCAGACTTTGTCAAGGATTACTCTTCAACCCACTTAGTCACCGCCAGGGATGTCACCATCTAGATTACAAGCAAATTTTGTCGGACCTTCATATGTCGACAGCACTCTTCCAAGTGCCGCTACTAGGGTTGATAGAGGGAAAACTCCTCTAACATACCCAAATAATGTTCCACTGGGTGTCAAAGCCGAACCAGCCTTCTCTAGGGAAGAGAGGTTGGGGGGACAGGCTCATAATCCTATCCCAGCTGAGCCAGCCTTCTCTAGGGAAGAGAGGTTGGGGGGACAGGCTCATAATTCTATCCCAGCCGAGCCATCCTTCTCTAGGGAAGAGAGGTTAGGAGGACAGGCTCATAATCTCATTCTTGTGTTCGATCCTATTCCTCCTAGAGTGGATTCGGAAGACATCACTCAAGTTCTGCGGATGCATTTCGGAATGAATCCGCAAACGGTGAACAGACTGGCATATCAGAGGCCATTTCCAGAGAGAATCATCAATGAGCATCCTCTTCTGCGAAATTATAGGCCACCAGATTTTCATTATTTCTCAGGAGAAGATGGAGCCTCAACTATTGAGCACGTGGGAAGCTTCACGGCCAAACTGGGGAAAGTGGGCAATAATCCGTTTTGCAAATTGCAGTTGTTCGGATTGTCGCTCACTAGAACAGCTTTTTCCTGGTTTGCTAATCTTCCACCAAGACAATTGTAAACTTGGGAGGGCTTAGAAGCGGTCTTTCATGCAAGGTTCTTTAATCCTCTTCCGACAGTCTCACTCACAGATCTCCTGGAAATCAGGCAAATGCCGGAGGAGAGCGCCTACCAATTCATAGAGCGGATACGAATAATGAAGAGACGTTGCCCGACAATCATTGAGGAGAGCGAGATTACCAATGTAGTGGTCAAGAATATGCAGACACAACTACGGGAGGCTTTAACGGCCCACGACGTTCAAGATCTGGCCAGTTTAGCATCCAAGGCGGGGAGGTTAGAATCTCTTTTTAGAAAAAAAAGATCACAACTTCCGTCAAGGGGATGGTGCTGAAGAAATGGTGGCTGAGATTATAAACAGCAAACCCTATGTATGTTTCAAATTGAAGCCCTGCAGAAGAGCGGGAACAACCGACGTTTGATGCATCCAAAGCAGATGAAGTCTTCGATATTCTACTGGCGGATGGGCAAATTCACATACCGAAGGGGCAACGGTTGGCAACAAAGGATGAGATAAAGGGAAGACCATACTGCAAGTGGCATAACTCTTTTACGCATTACACAAACCAGTGTGCGCACTTCCGAAAGGAAATCCAGAGGGCGATCATAGCTGGAAGATTCAAATACGTGATGATGGGAGTGGAGCACCAGCCTTTCCCAAAAGTAAGTACTGCAGCGGTGATTTCTGTGCGCTTCTCACAAAGCCCACAAAAGGATGATGATGAAAGAGACAGCAAACGGAGAGAGCACAAACCAAAAGATAGGGAGCTCGATCAGGATGACAGGTTTAAAACTTGCGAAACCAGGGTAGCATAAAAGTGGGACAAAAAGGATGGCTCCTTCGAAGTGGAGTTAATGGAAATGGTAGTACGAGATCGACCACCGCGCAGGCCACCACCAGTCCACGATAAATGGAGGTCAGATCAGAGGCTGACGTAGCCTCGGATGATAGAGGTCGTCGGATGTGAGGCTGGCGTGCCCTCGGATGATGGAGGTCGGTTGAGGGACAGCCGATGGAGACCCAGGGTTGTCCTATAAAAAAAAGAATTTCAAGATTTTGAGTGCGTAAATATGGAAGGGTGAGAGAAGGGTTTTA